AAAATGTGCTCCCAACTGTTCGCACTTCTGCTCCTCCTTCTGACCGCTTGTGTGGCGGGCAGAAGTACTCCACAGGAGTTGGATGAAGACTGTGAACTAAATGCTGTAGATACAATGGTGAGTTATAGACACCAAACTAGTCTATGGATGGATATAATTATCCTAATTCAGCAAATAAATAGAAGTGCTTCAAATTAGGAGACACACAATGAAATCGTCATATAAAATGATGACGGGTACAACTTTTTATTGCAGCATGATTTCTGCTGCGACCTGCACGACGAGAGTCCCCAGTTTAGCGATTGCCAGATGGAATGGCACGAAAAGATTCAATACCAGACGGATGAAGAGGAGCAGATGTACATGTTTGTGAGTTCAGTTGAGGAAGGTAAACAAGTACAAAACTAATTGCTCAATCAGTGCACCGCAGAGTGCAGTTTCAACAGTACGGACTTCCTGGGCAAGGACCGCCGTTCACTGAACCTCAATGAGGTAAAGGAGCACTTGGATAGCGACCTGGTTAGCGATGCGGATATAGAGCTTCTCTATGACACATATGTCAAGTGCGACAAGCATGGTGTGCAAGTGGCGCGAGTTGTGATACACATTTAATTGTGATTTAATACATCTCTAAATGAACTGTCCTTGCAGCGCTCTCCATGTTGCCACACAAGGGAGTGAAGCAGCTGGCTAGACGCCTCACGCGCCATGGCTGTCATCCGTATCCTGGGCTGGTCCTCGAGTGCGTGGCCAACGAGATGATCCTGCACTGCCCCACTAAGCGGTTCCGTCAAACAGCCCAGTGCGAAGAGACCCGCACTCATTTGAAGCAGTGTATGCAGTATCTAAAGTACAAATCCTAGATGTGGGGTTAATACATGGGCACCATTTGCAGCTTACACGTTTATTGTCCTTTGTTATAATTTAACTATGACTAAAGGTGGGATATTCGGCTAGCTAGCAATCTTGACCAAATCGCCGTCTACTTGCAAAGAATCGGCGAGCTTGAGTTGCTTAATAAACCGTTTCTGAAACTTCTTGTCCTGTTTTTCGGTCAACTCCTCGACGGACAGATGCTTAGCATACTTCTTCAGCAGCTTCTTACGAAGTTTTTCCAGAAAGATGCCTTCTGATTGCTTGGTAACGATTTTAGTTAGTTGGGCGGCCCAATCAAAGTCGCTCGCAATGCCATTGGAGGTCTCTTCGACAGCAGCATCTTCTGTGGCTTCCACTTTGGCCTTCTTCTTGGGTGGCGCCTCCTCCTCCTCGGCGTCTGCCTTCTGCTGCCGCTGTATTTCCGCCACCTTCTCCGCCTTGGCTCTGGCCAGCTCCGTTTGCTTTGCCTCCTTCATCTTGTTCAGCTCCTTCTCGAGAATATCCCACACCTGGGTGGCCTGATTGCGAGGCATGCGCATGCAGTTACCCACGAAGTTCTCGAACTTGGCCTTCTTGCGGGGCACATTGTCGACGCTCTGGAGCTTCTGGAAGGCGGATCGAACGGGCGGAGTTAGTTTGTACTCGCTGCTGTCGAGGATCGTTCGGATAATGTCCATCCAACTCTCCTGCTTCTGAGCATTCTTGTTGCGCGGCTCCTTGGCGGCAAAGCCCTGACTTTGGCTGGCGTACTTCTGGGCCTCGGAGATGCACTTGGTGTGTGCCACGTACTCCTCGCCGTAAAAGTCCTTCAGGCAGTCCATGCAGGACACGTTCTTGTCGTTGCCGCGACAGCGCATCTGGTAGTGCTTCTCCACCGCCGGTTTCTTTACCGACTCGCCGCAGATGTTGCACGTGAAGAAGACCATGGTGTGGCGCTCTTTGATCTCTTTTTTACCGTGGAATCCTTGAAATTGCAGGTGATTTCGGTTGAATTTAGCGCCGGCTGAGGCCAAACAAAACGCACGTGGGCATTAGAGTGACCATACGCGCTGGGGCCATAAGTATCGCAAATACAGTGTTGCCTAATACCGATTCCAGGGCTGCAAATAGGCATTTACCTCTTTTAACTTAATTTTAATATAATCATTGTTTGATATGTTAAATAAAACTATAAGAATATATATTGAAAATAGATCTATAATAGATCAAAAACTGTAGAATACAAGAGAACAAATTACATCATTAAAACTACTAACAAATACGAATAATTGGTATTTTTAATTTAATTCCCGTAAGTATTTTTTACAATCGTCCCATTTCGATGTATCGCAGCCATCAGCGTGTCATCACTAATAGCAACAGCTGTTTGTAGACACACGTTGCCGGTGCTGACGAAATTTGTGCGAATGATTTCAGCGAAATTGCCGCTTTCCCAGTTTAATAGAAACCCGCGCTTACAGACTACGAAGAAGTACGAATGTATTTGGTGAAATCAGCCGGGTCGCCAATCTATCGAACCTTGCGAACGCTCTCAACGAGAAATTTGATGGCGGCCACGATTGCCTCGGCCAAGGATCCTTTAACAGGACCACGCTATGAGCGGGAACCCAATGTGCTTAGGAAAAAGCTGGCCTCCGTGGTGCCGGGAACAGTAAATCTGCAGGTTCTGGGCTCTGGCGCCAATGGAGCCCCTGCCGCTGTTTATTTGTTTACAGACCAGGCACGCTACCTCTTTAATTGCGGCGAGGGAACCCAGAGACTAGCTCACGAGCACAAAACCCGACTATCGCGCCTGGAACAGATATTCCTCACGCAAAATACGTGGGCATCCTGCGGTGGACTACCAGGTCTGACTCTGACCATCCAAGATGCCGGAGTGCGCGACATTGGACTCCATGGACCGCCTCATCTCGGCTCAATGCTGCAGTCAATGCGACGTTTCGTGGTGCTAAAGAATCTCCAGGTGCGGCCCAACGATTGCTCTGAGGGCGCCTGTTTCGAGGATTCCATCCTGAAGGTGGACTCTCTGCCCCTGATCTGTTTGGAAGATCCGACGAAAAGTGTGATAAACTACATTTGTCAGCTGAAACCGCGAGCTGGCGCTCTGAACCTGGTCAAGTGCGTGGAGCAGGGTGTGCCGCCAGGCCCTCTTCTGGGACAGCTGAAGAATGGCAAGGATATCACACTGCCTGATGGGAAAGTGGTGCGTTCAGCCGACGTCACCGAGGCCAGTGAAACTGCATTGTCCTTTGTTTTCCTGGATGTGCCCAGTGAGAAATATTTACCAGGACTTCTTACGCACGGAAAAAGGCTCAAGAAGCTGGGCGAGGAGAAGTTAACTGAAGTGGCCGTTGTGGTGCACTTCACGCCTTATCATATGTCTTCTCGCCAGGAGTACAAGGATTTCGTAGTGGACAATTTTTCACCTGAAACCCAGCACATCTATTTAAGTTCACCACTAAACCAATTCTCCGGCTATGCAGCTGCCCATCGCATCCAACATCAATTGCACCAACTGGCACCGCAAGTGTTTCCACTCCTTGGCGAGCAGCTGTCCTGCCAGAGTCAGACTCTCAGTCTTAATCTTAAAAAAACAAAGTTGGACGAGACCGATTCGGAGGACAAACGAAATTCAAAGGCTAACGAAACAGAGGAACAGGGTGTAGTCGCCATGACAAGCTTCCATCTTAGACCAAGAAAGGGTGTGTATTTATTGTTTCTTACCATTCAATGCTATAAGTATGTTATTTTTCTGAAGGTCTGGATCGCACCCTGGAGTCCAAGCTCACACCAGAGGAGTATGTTAAGGAGACCCATGATGTACCTGGATTTCTGGAACTATTGGCCAAATTTAAAGAAGAGTACAGTTTCCCTGACAATTCTGCCGATAGCTACCCGAAAATCATTTTCCTGGGCACAGGCTCCTGCATTCCCAATAAGACGCGCAACGTGAGCTCTATTCTGATCAGGACTGCAATTGATGCCTACGTGTTGTTGGATTGTGGAGAAGGAACTTATGGCCAGATTGTGCGGCTCTATGGTCGCGAGAAGGGGCAGATAATTCTTCGACAGCTACAGGCGATTTATGTATCACATTTGCATGCCGATCATCACATTGGATTGATTGGTTTGCTCCGGGAAAGGAGGCAATTGGAACCTAGTGCAGACCCACTGATTCTGATGGCTCCTCGACAAATCGAACCATGGCTGGAGTTCTACAATCGGCAAATAGAAACCGTAGAAGATGCGTATACTCTAGTGGCCAACGGCGAACTTCTAACTAGTCCCCTGAGCGGTGAACAAGTTGAACCTCTAGGAATTACGTCCATATCCACCTGTCTAGTAAGGCACTGCCCAAACTCTTTTGGAATAAGCCTCACTCTGGCAGCTAAGCACAATAGCGAACCTGTCAAGATCACTTACAGCGGCGACACCATGCCATGCCAGGATCTAATCGATCTGGGCCGCGACTCCACCGTTCTAATTCACGAGGCAACAATGGAGGACGACCTGGAGGAGGAGGCGCGGTTGAAGACGCACAGCACCGTGTCGCAGGCTATTCAACAGGGGCGGAATATGAACGCTCGCCACACGATTCTCACCCACTTTTCGCAGCGTTACGCAAAGTGCCCGCGATTACCGAGTGATGAGGATATGCAACGAGTGGCAATAGCCTTTGATAATATGGAAGTGACCATTGAGGATCTGCAGCATTACCACAAGCTCTACCCCGCCCTTTTTGCAATGTACGCCGAGTACACAGAAGAACTGGAGCAGCGGGCTGTCAAGCGGGAGCTGAAACAGGAGCGAAAGCGAAAACTGGCAGAAACGTGATTGCCGGCAGTTAATCGGAGATCAGGATAAGTTATTCAAGGAGCTACTGTTAATCTTATGTCGGAGATGAGTGGTATTTGTTAAGTTTAAATGTTTTTTCTTGAAACTATAAATACTATTTGGAAATATATTGATTATATATATGAAATTAATAGGGCACAATTGCTTTTGTCTGTATATGCTTGTGATATTTGGCACAACTCCGTGTATATAGGCAATGTCCTATATGAAATCATTTACAAATTATTTGTATTGTTCCCCAAAAATCCAATAAAAATATAAGAAATTAATTTTTGTTTTTAGGTTTCTTCTTTATTTACTATTTCGCTTGCAACAGTGTCTGTGTAATAAACGCTTTTTGTAATGATTTTAAAATGGTTTCTGTTGGTTCGGACACGACAATATCATAAATATTATTAATAATTATCAATAGTAATTATCCACTTTGCCGACTCAACAAGGGCACTTGAATCTTAGCACTTTGAAACATTTTATTTCGTTTTAGTCATTTAAATTCCAACTTTAAGGCACTTTACTTCAACGGTCTCTTCTTTTTCGCAATTGATTTTCTTTTTGGAAATTAGCTGTGACTAGTTAAAATTAGTAGGTAAACGACAAAGTATATATGTATGATCTTAATTAAGTTCCTTCCATATTTGGTGTGTGTTTGGGTGATCGGGGTGTCGGAGTGGTGGAGTGGGGGAGGTGGGGGGGAGAACTTTTGGTTAATATTTGGATGTCATATATAAACGTAGTTCCAACATTGATAAAATGAATGCTCTGTTTAAAAATAAATAAATAGCTTTAAATTACGGCAAAACGAAAGCAGCAGAATTAGCGGGATAAGAATTATTCAACAACAACATAAAATAATCCAGTAAAACCAAGTCATAGTTAATCATAGTTAATCAAACTGCCTTCGCCCCGGCCACGCTGATTCCTCCTCGTATTAGACTACAAATTCATTAAGATTAGGCACGAACGCCGCTCCGGGGGCTGGGTCAATGGATCGATCTCCTCTAGGCCCGTTCCACGTAGTTGCCGGGGAATGTGCCGAAGCAGCCGGTCCTCTGTGAGGTGCCCACGAACCATCCGTCGTCGCACTTCTCCAGCACATGGACCAGATCTCCCTCGAGCAGTTCCAGTTCGTCGGAGTTCTGGGGCCGGTACTTGTACAGGGAGCGGTACCTGGAGTAGATCTCAAATTAATGATTGGATCCGAAACATGCATTCGCCTAACCAAGCTAAACTCTAACAAGGATGTCTAATAGTATGTATCATCGTTCTTTGCAAGTTGCAAAACATGATGCACCCCATTAGACAGTTTCTTGGTAGCTTTGGTAGGTGGTAGGATAACTCACGCCAATGGTTCGGAACTGGTGTCCACATGGAGGGCGTCCGTCTTGTGAAGCGTCCGCGTTTCCTTGAGGATTCCGTTCGGTGGCTGTGCTCCATTCTGCGTCAGCGTATTGAACTCATTGTTGATGTTTGTGCGCAGCACGTCGAGATTGGGCCGCAGATTCGTGGTGCTCTGGCTGGTGATCACGGTGGTTGTCCTGGCCGCAATGTCCTCAGCACCAATATCAGTAAGTACCTTAAGGTTAAAGCGAGATTAGCCAACTACAGAAACAGTTTGCTAGGTGTAAAACCAACCTCCACGTAGGAGCACGGGAAGATGCCCTTCCTGTTGGCAATCTTGCCCTCGAACCAGTTGCCATCAACGCGCCGTGTCAAAGTGACCAATTCGCCCTTGTTCAAGGAGAGCTCGATGCCCGACTGGGCCTGGAAGTTGTATTTGGCACGGGCCTGGCCCTCCGATGGCCGCTTGGATGGGGTACGGGCGCCATCTCGACTGACAATCTAGAATGGAAAAAAGGTTGAATTTGCTATCCACATATACCATTCACTCGTTTCTATATTTTTTTATTTTTTTGAAGTGCAATCCATTAACGCAGTTTACTTGTCTATATATATACACGTATATATAAATATATAAATATATTTATACTTCTCCCTAAGTTTTAATGATTTTTTAAATATTTAATATTATCATATTTAAAATGGTCTATGTTTGAGGTTTTCTTTTTATCTCTGGATTGCATTCTCACAGATAAAGATAAGAAGGATCAGGGCGAGAAATGGACTCACCTCAACATAACTGGCTGGGAGCAATCCAATCATGGCATTGTGCTCGCCCTCATACCAGTTGGCATCGATCTGCCGCCTGATGTAGATGGTGTCGCCCTTGCGGAAGGATAGCTCCCTGAAAAGGACATGGATATAGTGGCGCTTAGAGGAACTCTCCTCAAGGGCTACATACTTGGAGGTCTGCCCCTGGAAGTTGAAGAGAGCACGGGCCACCGTCTTGGGGCCCACCAGCGACTTGAGGGTCACGTCCGTGGGGAAGTCATCGTAGCGATTGAGGGCGATGGGCGACTTTTGCGACGGGGTGAAGTTGTCCGTGTGGCGGCGAGAATTCATGTCCTGCAGCTCCTGTAGATACTTGCGACGGCGCTCCTCGTGGTAGAGCTTCTGCATGTGCTCCGCTTGGCGAATGGCTAGTTCCTCTTCCGACAAGTTCTGGCGCTGCTCATGCCTGATGGGTGTCTTGAAGTGGATGTTCACGTCTGTGGCATAGTAATGATTGGGAGACTCTGTTCAGATGAGAGGCACAAAGTGGCAAGATGGGTTTCAGGCTCAAGCTCAAGCGATGCGTCTTCGATTGCCTTGGTTTCCCAGGCAACCATATGATCTACGAGTATATGCTGCTGCTAACACGCATAGCTCGGTTACCAATGAGGTTCTCAATGAGATCTAGTCACCCGCCCCTTAAAAACAAGTTGGTTGCACTACGAACCCATTTTCGCCGAGTGTACTCGCTGTTTACCCCACAAACAGCAATCTCTTGTTGCCATCGTAGTTGTCTGAGTCGTAAGATGATCTAACCGCAGATCTTCGTAACTGCTGCCGCTTCTGTTACGAAACACTGGCTTATCTGGGAGTCGGGTGCGGCGCACATATCAGTCTGCCAATTGGTAGGCAAATAAACAGCCAGCCCCCAGCACATAGCCCCCACTTGGTGCCCCCGACCAGTTAAAGTGGCATTCCACAATCTCAAATTGAATGAAGCATCTCTCTTAAATGGGGAATTAGCTGCAATTGAAGTTAATGCTCGTTGGCTTAGCAATCTGATGTTTGGGTTCTGAAGAGGTAACTGAACTCTCAGTGTCTTGGAGCTTTCCTAAAAAACTTGGCTCGAATTTGCATGCGAGTGCAGCGAAGTACATTCCCCCTCAATTGATACTACAAGTGAATTGCGCAGCAGGCGGTAAACTGATTAAGAAAGAACGTATGTAGCTTCAGCATCTATTGACCTGAATCGGAAAATCTCAAGGGGAAAGCCTCGCGAGAGGCTCCTCGATGAAGGGGGAGGGGAGTTGGTGGGGCAGCTGCACAAATATTTTCACGGCAAATAAACCATGAGCCACACAGCTTTGTCTTCGCACAACAACAATTAACAACAGCTTTGTACGTGCTGTTTACGCCAAGTGAAGAAATGGAAAGAGAGGCTTAATTGACACTCGGGGATTGGGATTTTCACTTTCACTGATTCGCTGCGGCATATTTTGCCAGCGTTTGAAAGTGCTTGCACAGAGAAAAATCGCAGTGCTATCAATGGTGATAGTGTTATCTTCTTTTATAAGAGGTTTAACTATCAAGGTTTAACTATTTGTAGCACATTCTCGGCAGCATGTGCTATATTAACACGCTATCGTAGGATATTTTAAATACAGATACGAGTATATTTTAAATGGGACTGCAATCAAAAGTTGTAATAATAATGCCTAATTAGAAACACATTCCCGGTATGGAAAGCGTTGCTTATTTCCATCATTTCTGGAGACACAAACACGCACACAAAAGCACAGGGGCTTTTCAAGGCTTTTCCTCGCATTTCACGCTCAATTAACGCTTTAAACGCTTTTCCTTGCTGTTTTCCTCGTTGAGCGCTCATTAGTCACAACTATCAATCAGAATTTAGAATCGGATCGAATTCGATGCCCGAGGCAATTCTCTGATAAAGCTGAGGAGAATCGGCGCGCAACAACAAACAAGCTTCGCACCTAAACTGGAGCCGGAGAAAGAGACGGCGAGAGAGGGGCGGACAGAGAGGGAGAAGGAGAATAGTGTTCGACTTTACCGTAGCACGCGTAGCGCTCAACTGAAACCGAAATCGAAATTGAATGGGAGCCCAAGGCAGCTAAGCAATATAGGGAAACAGAGCGAGAGAGGGACAGCTGGAGAAGACGGGACAGAGAGGGAAGACCAGAAGACGAAGCTTCGAAGCGTCGACGTCAAAGAGATTTCGATTTCGATTTCGACTCTCTGCGCCGGGTGAGTAATTCCCAGAGATAGCGGCGCTCGTATTACTACAAGTTCCGTTTTTCTGGCGGCGCCGCACGTTTAATTGTTGTTGTTGCTGGTGGTGGTGGTGCAGTGGGGTGTGTGAATTGCTTGTTGGTGGCACAGTGGGTCACAGCGGTTGAATATAGGTAACTTTATCACGCATTCAGAAGCAAAGATTGTAATAAGTTTCTGAAAACTTTTAGCCGGGAATAACTGACATTCTTCAAAACTTATTATAAATTTTACGACCAATCCGATAGAAAAAATGGTATTTACGTCTGTGAATAATTATAAGTGGCACCCACTGTACTTCCCATTACTGCTTCTTTATCTTGATCATAGTAAAAAGCTTTTCCTGGCATCTACTTTTCAAGCTTCTATCAAAGACTTTGGCATTGAAGCGCGTGGAGCGCGGCCAAAAGCTGGCTGCTCTTTTGGCCACCTCTCTCCGCCAATCTTAGGCGGCCCAGGTGATAACGAGTTTTTACATTTTTGCAAAAGAAAAACCGTGAGAAAGTGCAAAACAGGAAGGTCGCTTAGTCAAATGAGAAAGTGCAAAGCGAATGGAACGGTGGGAGCTGCGAAGGGGTTCAATCGATCGCTTGACTTTCTTTTATCTCGCTGCGGCTCTATCATAGAGAAATAATTGGAGAAAAATGGAGCCACTTATGGAAAGTATTTATAAAAGTGGCATTTAATAATTTTAAGCTATTTGCGAGGTAATCAAGAGAGCAAGTTAATGACAAGGCAACTTGTGAATGCTTTCAACTTAAGATCTCTTCAATTAGGACACAAATGTCTTGATTAAGAATCTTTGTTTCGAAGGAGTCAGTGCAGCAAATCCCCATCCGATTATCTAATATTGCGACGATTTTAAGCTGGGTACTAACTGCTTGGCCAGCGATGTTGCAGGTTCTGATATTTCCGATGCTGCAGCTGTTGCAGATGCTGCTGATGGCGCTCTTGCTGCTGCTGCTGCCACAGGAGCAGCGGCATGGAAGCCCCAATGGCATGTTGGTTGGCCAAATAGGACTGCCGTTGGTTGGGCTGCGGAGTGAGGGGCAGTCCCACCACGTGGTAGCCACCTGCACCACCCGGAACACCGTGGTAGTTCGATGGGGAAGGTGGTCTTAGAGGTGCGGATCTTGTGTAATCGTATTCCCGGCGATGTATCCACAGGATTTTGCCACAGTTGGGTATGTCGCAGACGTTGTTGTTGCCGTTGGTGGCGGTGGTGTTGCTGCCGGCGTTACGAGTGTTGCCGTCAGCCCCACTGCTCTGTGGCCTTTGCCAGGGATTTGCATTAATCTCCGGGCTGTGCCAGAAGCCTTGCGGCTCCGGGTACGGCTCATCCTCCAGCTCCAAATCGTTGCAGCTGCGATGCAGCTTCTGTCGCCAGTGAACCGCCTTGCTCTTGGAATAACTGGAAGATTTGCTGCGGTGCGGGGCCAGCGTTTGGTGGATCATATTGCCGCGGTTGCATAACACATTTAACTGGCGATTATTGCGAGCGCAGCCCGAAAGACACGTTTTTTTGGCACGGAAAAGTGAAACTGACTAACGGCCGCGACAGGTATGTGTTCCCGAGTTTGTTTTGTTGACGGCATCGTCTTGGCCATGGCAACGCCAACGAACTGCAGGCTCGCACCGGCAAGGTGAGCCACCCCCAGCGAGGCAGCAACAACAAGGGCAGAGCCACCACCCGGACAGGCGGAAGGGCGGACAGGTGGGTGGTGGTTTAGGTTTGGTGGTTCTGCCGGGTGAGCTAAGCAGGTCAGGCCCGTCCGCGTGGCCGGCATTCTCATTGGAGATATCGATTAATTTGGTCAACTGAGGCACGGCGCGCCTTCAAAGCGAAATTGCAGCAATTGCGGAAATTGCCCGTTGTTGTGGTAGTAAAAATGCTTTTAGCAAAGGTCAACGAATGACACTGGCTTAGTGCGGAAGGGAATGGGTATCTTAAATGACCCGGCTATGATAAGCTGACCAAATTTAGTCCGCTAACTAGTTGATATGAGCATTAATCCGGGCCAATTTCCGTTGACGACTTTTCATGTATTTAGTGGATACTAAGATTATACTTTCAATGATTTTAATATATTTTTTCAAGATTAGAATGCACGCTTGGCAAGTAGGGTTGGTCAAAATACATGATAATAATTAAATGAGTGGTTGTGAAGTTTAGGGTTAAATATATTCGGGTAAACCCTCTTATCACATTTAGTACAGAAGAGCTCGAATCCTCCCATTTTAACTCCCTTACTTTTAGCGGCGGTTAGTTCTTGCACCGTTTCGGAAATGCCAGGGAGCACCTGCATCATCGTCACTCACCTGATCCGTCGACGGTGTCGGTGTTGTACGGGAAATCGTAGGCGGAGAGACCCTTGACTGGCGGCTGTGGGGGAATGGGGGGCGCGTTCGGGTCGAGATCTGCGCCAACGATTACAGATAAGAGACGAGTAAAGGGATAATTTGGAATAGTAAAGACCAATGGGGGAGTACCCAACAAGCAGCAGCTAGCTCTACGAGATCTGGCGACCAACGAAGCGTAAGTAGTCTATCAGGAAGGCGAATAGTTGCCCTGGCTCATCCCTGATCATTCCCATGGAGACCCCAACCACTGCTCCCTGAAAGTCGTACGCAATAATCACCTTTAAAGGTCACCATGGCAGTCTTCTTGAGGCGCTCTAAGGTGCCACTATCCTTGGACTTCTGATTGCCATTCTCCGCACCATCGGGAACATATCGGGCCTTGGGCCGATGCTTGTTGGGATCGAATTTCTGGTTGGCGAATATATCCTTCATGCAGCTGGTCAGCCGGGAGCTCAACTGGTGGTTCTGCGACCTTGCTGGTCGAGGTGGTGACGTGGAGCTCGCCCTCACCACCCGTTGTGGCTTCTTGGGCAGGTCCTTGGGCTTCGTCGGTTTCGGGTGCTTGTGAGCCACCCAGTCGGCACTCAGGTGAGGCGATATGTCGTGCACATCCCGCATATCCGGATGCGAGGTGGACAAATAGCTCTGGGTCTGCGGCTCCGGTGACTCGTAGCGCATCCTCAGGCGCTCGAAGCAATGGCTGTTGCTGCTCACGCTCCTCGTGGGACTCGATCGAACCGGAATGGGTAGTTCTCTTTTCAAGGCCGCTGTCTTGCTGATGATATCGATGTGGGGCATTAGACGATCCTGGGCGCTTCGCAGACGCCTTCTTCCTCGTTCCGGCGAGGGCGTGGCTGCCCTGAACTCGAATTTGTGTGTTAACCGAGGCACATCCTCCTTCGACACCGCCTCCGTAGCGGTGTCCGGGGCGTCTTTGGATCCCGCACTCATTTCGGGATCGCTGCGCGCCCTCCGCAGCGAGCTAAGCCCAAAAAAATCGCGCCGCTCATTGGATGGCTCCCGGGATTGTTCGCCGGACTGCTGAATGCTCTCGAAGTGCTGACGCATCTTCCGCACCTCGCCGGTGTACACCCTCTGCAGGTAGGAGCTGGAGCAGGCCGAGGCCTGCGATTGGGGCGACAGACTGCGCGACCGGTAGAAGGAGTCCGAGTAGAGCTCAAGACTGCCTTCTCCGTGATCCGGTGAACCGTTCCCAAAGCTGATAAGCTCGGTATCGTCGGGCGGACGGTCGGGCGGGCTGTGCAAGTGAAAATTTACCCGGGCCGCGGGACGCTCGCCAAAAACCCCGCTCAAGTCGGTCAGTGAGTTACTCAGCTCCTGGTGGTGATGAAGTTGCCTGGCTCTCTGACGTTCCTGCATGTTTTTGTTGATGAGTCGCATTACCTCTGCTTCGTCCGGCGAGGAATCTTCGCGAGCGTGGTAAATGGTCTTGGGCGGCTCATCGAACTGGCGATCCTCGAAGTACTGTATCTTTTGGCTTATGTCTTCGGCCGGCTCGCGAGTTTCAACTTTGAGTTCCGCCTTTGGCGATGGCTTGCTCGTGGGCTCCTGACTTGGCGTGGCCTTCGGTCTGGGTGGCACATCCGGCGGTTTCGTCAAGGTCAACTCAGCATTCTTGGCTGCAATGGCGCCACGGGTTTCTCGTGCCACCACCACGGGAGATTGACTGCGAGTGGAACGAGGCAATGACTGATTTGATTGCTGTTCATCTCGCTTACGTTGAACTGGGCCCAGTAGCTGATCCTTGGAGATGGTGGAGTTGCAACGCACTTTCAGACCATTTGGACGGGAACCCTTTTCCACGGTTACGACATACTGCTCCTCGACGGCGGGAGCCTGGCGATTCCCTGAGTAGATCTCGTTCAGCTGCTGGGTTATTTTTTTAATCTGATCCTTGGATAACGTGCTCACTAGATCGTTGTCCAAGTGACGCTCCATTTCGGGTTCAGCCGCGGCCTGGTGCTCCAGACTGCAGGCCAAATCAGCCACCGTGTTGCGCCTCCAATGGCGATGCACTGGCTCCGATTGGAGCTGCTGCTGCTGCCTGAGGAGATTCAGCTGCTCAAAGTTTTCGCGCAGATCCTCCACGGACTTCTTCTTGGCAACCAGGGATTGGTCGGCCTCTTGACGCCACTTAATGGAGTCTACATCTTTCGAACGGAAGTGAAGATCCCTTTGCTTTTGGTCATCTCGTAGCTTTCCAACCAAATATTGCAGCTCCTTTTCAGCACGTTCATGAAGTCGCACCCGGCGCCACTCATCAAAGTCCAGGAGTTCAGCATCCTTCCTCAATGGATGAAAGCTGCTGGAGGACGTGGCCCTCTCCAGCTGACCCACTCGCTCCAAGGTGCTGTAGAAGCGATTCAATTCGGTGAAGCGCTCGCAATTGTTACGATACCGGCAGCTGGGACTATGACGTTCCAGCTGAGTCAACGACGTGGCACTGTGGGCTAGCTCTCCGCATTGGTAGAGCCCATTGGATGGAGCTGGAGTAGCTCTCTTGCGCTCATCTGCGCTGCTCAGGCTGCTGGCCCTGGCCAAGGACTGTTCTTTGTCCTTGGAACGCAGGCTATCGATGCGACGACGAGAGGGAGATCTCACCTCCCGGCTGATTTGGGGCACCCTAACCTCTCGAGTGGGCGAAAAGCGACGCTCCTGGCTCAATTGTGGTGACTGAGGACGAGCGATATCCGTCACGGTCACTTGCTTCGGTGGACGCTGCTCCTTGCCCTCATACTTCCACACAAGATCCTCGATACACGGCTGCTGGATCGCATGACTCTCGAAATCGCACACATCCTCCGGACAGAACTTGTACTCCTGCGGCAAGGACATGGCCTGCTTGGCGTTGTAGTCGTTCCAAAAGTTGGTCTTCTCCCTCACTGATTCGCTGTAGGAGTGGACAGTAACTGGTGGTGGTGGCTTGCTGGTAGATTTTCCAGACTGACGCTTCCTGGGCACGTGACCTTCGCTTCGACTGCTCTGAAGTGGAACCAGCGCCTTAGAGAGTGATCCTCTGGACCTCCCAACATATGTCTTGGGTGGTGCAATGGGCACAATTTCCTGACGCACCATAGAGTCAATGGAGAAGGTGGAGTTGCTTCTCGGCAAGCTGTCATTAGATCCGTTCTTTTCCTGGCCCTTTCCCGCTTTCGAGGACGACTTCCTCAGCGACCGAGTTCCGCAATCCAAGAGCGTCTGGGGTCGCACCTGCGGGAAGCACATGGTCTGCCTTGTGGTAGTGCTCACTGTAGTATGACGAAGTCGTGGCAAGGACTTGCTGCGCGAGGTCGCATACGAACGCACTGCCTCCCTCACCTCTTGGGGGGATTTCAGGGAGGGATCCCTTAGTATATTGGTACTGGCCTCAAAGTTGGTGCGATTCGCAGGCAGCGTGTTCTCCAGTCGCTTCTTTTCCTCAGCGAAGCTCCTTTCCTTCGATATGCTCCTGCCAAAGGCCACAGGACTGCGGCTGGAATGGCGAAGGGCCAGAAGGCGGGCGGGGCGCCTACTGGGACTCGAGGACCTCAAGCGCGATTGCTGCTGCGGCTGCTGAACCCGACGGGTGAGTCGGGTCTCCTTGGTGGCCGTCAGAGTTTGCAAAAGGGTGGACACCGCTCCCGCCGACTTCGATCGGCAAATGGGCTCACGACGGGAACAACTCGAAGTGGCCACCTTCCGCAGGGTGACGGTGGATACCCCAGGGGCAGTTCCACTCGGCGGTTGGAAGCACTGCTCATGCCTGGACTTTGAGGCGGAGCTCAGAACTCGCACAGTGCTCTTCGTGCAGCTGGACCTTCTGTGGGGCGGCCTTGGAGGTGGGTCATCCTGTTGCGACACTTGCTGCTTCTTGCCCAGCGGAATGAACGAGGGCAGATTCTTCGAGAGCTGCGAAAACATCTTCACGGGCTTCTTGTCCCTTCTCGTGGTCAAAGATTGGGGAGGGGGAGGTGGTGGTGGTGGCGGCGGAGGCGGTGGCGTTGCTGCTTCTCTCAGGGATTCCACTTCTTCTTCCAGCTCCTTGGTACTCACACGAATCTTTGTGAGCGTGGGCGTGATCTGAATGAATTCGAACTCCTCCAAAATTTCTTGGGGATGGCATTAAAACGGATTTTAAATTAGCCAGTGGCTTCTGTTGGTTCGGTGGTGCCTGTGACAGTGCCATAAACGGTGGTGCTTTTTTTGCTTATTCGTTTTTTTCTTTTAGGTGGAGCCCGCCTTTTTAGGGGCAGTCAAATACAACTTCAGGTGAGCAGTGATTGTGGGTGATGGGGATACAACCAGGGCGAGAGGTGGCAAAGAGGTTAAATTCTTAAATAGTTTGGTGTACAAAAGATAGACCTTGGAACCAACACCGTTTGCAGGATTAGTGAGTAGATAGCCCAGCGACTTACGACTATGATTAGTAGAAGATTAGAGCTCCGGCTAAGCAACTAACTAACCCAAAACCTACAAAGTGTATCACTTACCACGGGGTTTCTCGGGCGCTGGTTTGCGGAAGCCGAGCAGAGGAGGTTCTCCGCCTGCCTGGAGACTCTTGTAGGCCAGCTTTTGTTCCACGGGGCTGAGGGGACTGCTCACGGGCACCTCCTTCTTGCGGAAGACCAGATTGGAGTCGCTAGTATACCCGGATTCCTTGGCCAAAGCCCTGCAAGGATAGGGGGAATGTAGGTTATATCTTGAGATCATATAAAGTTCTAGCTAGATTGCTTACCTGGACAAATTTCCTTCAGTGTACAATGGCGATAGTTTCGATTGTTCTAGATTCTATTGGGGAAAAGAGAAAGTACATGAATTAGCATTACTTCAGGCACAAGGATAAAACTGAGAGGCTTCTATTAGTAGTTCTGGTGCCTTTGCAATGATTCCTGTCTCGCTTTCATTTATCTGACAGATCGATGGATACTCTGTCCGGGCAAAACTTACTCCGATGCCGTCGAACTCGTCGACGAACTCTATGATAATACGCGGGATGCGTGTGTGCTCCCTAAGCCACTTTGCGAAGGATATGGATCAGGCATTTTGGTGGGCGGTAAATGGTAGGCAAGGAAAGATATAAAGTAAGCAAACAGTTGGGAACGGTTTAGTTCACGTTAGACAACGGAAAACGGTCTCGGTAGCTCAATCGGAAGGTAAATTAGCTAAGACTAAATCTAGATATTATAGTAGAGATCATACCCCGTTAAAGATGTCCATCACTTCGTCCCACCACTAGAATTGTGAATAGAATAATTGCTGTGAGTTAGAATACTTGAGGCGATCTGAATGGCAGATTATGGGTGGTGAGTGTGAATGCTGCATGATTATGGACCCGATAAGGGTTTGGTGGGTATTATCGTGACGTGTGGATGAGCTGGGGCAATAAGCTAAAGATCGGTGCTGCGGACAAGGCCAGCAAAGTGGTTCCATTGAGCAAAGACGACTGATTGCTTTGCGTGGGTTAAAAATGATGGTGGTGAAGTGGGTCGTCCCAAAATGGTGAGCATTTGGGTGACGCTGATGAAACGTTAATGTGAATGTTCTCAGAACTGGCACTTACCTCCTTCTTTTCCTTTTCGGAAACAGAGGAATGACCTGTCGTGTAGTTCTCGATGCGACCTGGCTGATTCTTATACGAGCTTTGTGCTGATTTTATGGGATTTGGCATAGTACCATACAACCTGCAACATAATAGCAGGGTTCATTAATACGATTACATTTCACAAATATAATGACTCACTTCTCGTCCTGCTTAAGGTTGCGCACATTGACAGCCGAGGAGATGGACTGCACGCGGTGCGGATTCTGGGTGCGGTACCTCACCGTGGAGTAATCCGAATCGTAGTTGGGTTCCGGCTCTGAGACGTATCCGTTGCTCTTGTAGGACGGACGGACTGATCGGAGACAGAAGAACTCATTAGTCGGGGCATGTATTCAGTTGTACAAGCACAAAGCGGTTTATCAAGCTCTACTTTCACATAATCATTACTTCGTGTTGGTGGTGTACTGGCGGACATGATGTTAGCGTTGTTTTGTGGTTTTTGTTCGGTGAGTTAGGCCTTAGATTAGGTTAGTCGTGAAATTTAGTAGAAGCTTCCAAACTGTCAATGATCTAGACACTGGAACATGGGAGAACTCATATGTAGGTAAACCAAATAATACGGCATGCATCTAAACAAAATAAAACCAAAATAGAATGTAGCTCTCTATTTGTCAAAGCTTAGAGGTCACTAGACCCTGGCTACATGTACAGGCAAAAGCGGGTTACTAAGAGGGAGGAGCTACTGGGGGATAGGCATAGTTTATAGATCAAAGAACAAAGAATCACCTCTGGGATACTTGTAGCGAACCACGAATTCATCTTGAGGCGAAAGCGAATGGGGAAATGAGAAACGAGACACCGAAACGATAAGTTGGAGATCAGATCAGACTGAAGCATTACAGGGATTGGGAGGATTGGGAGATGGACATTTTGGGGAGTGGGAATGAGCTGGGTTGTGGGAATGGGAATGGGAATGGGGTGTGGTGCACTGGGGGATTGGAATGCTTCAGACCAAAGGCAAAGTGAGTGACATTTACCGCCGTTCTTCTGCTTGTGAATCGTCTGATAGAGACGCTTGTACCACTCATGCTGATGCGGCTGCTTGACCTCCTGCATGTGGATAAGGATAAGGAACAATACTCGTATCAATTCGTCTCACTTCGAGTTCAAAACCCCCGACACGCCCCAGTGAATAGGGCTTCCTTTACCGATCTCAGGATGATGGGCATTCCATCGTTGGTCACCGGACCAATGCCGTCGTACTGCCTTCTGCCTAACTGGGCCATTTTCCGGGGACGATCGCTGCCCGTCTCCGGTTCGCTCATATACTCGTGCTTGACTTTGTAGACTGGAAACCGCAGATGGAGTTTGGTTAGTGCTTGGAGGTCATAGGTCTATGGGGGCTCGGATCATCGGTTTATTGTTTTAGATATAAGGGTTAAACGGGGGCACAAACATCACAGCTACATTCAGTGTTGTGCGTCGACTGAGCTCGCTTCACCTGGTCACTTGCCATACCCACATCGGCTATACTTACTGACTTCATTGGGCCTGTAGGCTGGACGACTGGCGTCGGACAGCTGGCGCCGCACAAACGGCCTCTGCAACTCCGAGTTGGACGAGGAGCGTTCGAATGCTTTTCGGGGCGGTAAACGGCGGTAAATCGTTAGCAAAATCGATAGACTTTTGGGACAGAAAATAAGGCGGGTGGCAGTAAGACGTAGTCGTAGAAGTCGACTTTTTCCAACACTCAAAGACCTGCTAATATATTCTTCTATAGTTCATAATTGCGTCATTGAAGAATTCGAATTTCCCCTTGTATAAAATACCGTTGTACTCTGCCAATCACATTTGATCAATATGGTCAGGGAAACCTATGTATATTTGCAATAGCAATAATGATCTCATCTATACCTATAGAGGTATACAAATAATGCGCACCAAAATATCAAAAGGTAATTGATATTTAGTTGTACCAAAATAGAAAACAAATAATACAGCGTGAGGCAAATTTGATTGTTTTGGAAAACAGAAAATACTGACTTTAAGAATTGTATTTCACGTTTTATCTGCAAAAGTATCTCAAAGATTCTTTCCCAGTGCTAAATCATTCTCTTTAAGCAATTCACTTTCTATGAGTATTGGATAAGGACCTGACTAAGTACTGAGAACAAGGGGAGCGAAAGGCATATAGTACTTCTGATCTTGTCGGAGACACTGGCACTGGGCGCCACGGGACCAAAGTGTCCGGAGCAGTCAGTTTCGGCGTAGTCCGAGTTGGAGTACACGGAGTTGAGGGAGGCTGGCGCCGTGGGTGGTGGGGGGGCACCTTCTCCTTCTCCGTTCTCCGCACTGGACCAGGGAGGGATTGTAGTCGTCGTCTTCTGTTGCTGCTGCGCCGTATAGCGACGGGGCAGGGTGGGGGACTCGAAATGGACCGGACGGAACTCCTTGCGTCCGCTTAGCACCGGTGACGGTTGGGGCGTCCAAACGGGCAGCGAGGGCGGCGGCGGCGGCGGGGGCGTGGCTGATGTGGTGCCCGATTGATTTAGATCGCCGCTGGAACCGTAAGGTGTCCACACGCCTGTCGAAAGTTTTGGTTTTTAAAGGGTAAGCTAGTGTGGGCGGTGGTCTTTGCGTCTTTCATGTGGCTGGTGACATTTTCAGGGGCGCCGGCGAGTTCAGAGATTGAGTTTTCCGCACCGACATTTACACTTGTCAACAAGTTTATGCTGGCTGGCTATGCTTAAACCGCAGATCTCCTCGAAAATAGCTTTTTGGGCAGTCAACAAGCCGAGCGGAGACAAATTGACAAACAAACACAGCGACGTGGAACAGCCATAATTAATACGACGGCGACCGAGGAAGCCGCCATTTGGCAGCCATTCAAAATTTGGCCAACACACATAGGCACACTCACACAAACATACACACACTGACGCTCCTCTCACACGGATGGAATGAGTCATCGCATTTGGCGCATGTTTAGCATTCACGAAACACACACATGCAGGAAAATAAAATAAATTTATATTCCCGACCGCTAAAGAACTGGGCGAGGTGTGATACTGGGGTTCCCATTACACCGAAAACCTTTCTTATCGTGGCCTAAAAAAAGTTTTGAAATATTGCGACAAGGCTCTAATTTCTTATGACCAACCCAACTAAAGAAATGCTCATAAACCATTAACATTTTATATTATAATGGATGCAAATATAGTTTTAGATATAAATTAACCTTTCTAATGATAAGCTGCTAAAGCCAATTTAAAGCTCCCAAAAACTTGATTATCACATTAGAATCATTCGGATTTGAGAACCCTAAATATGATAAATGTGATTTGTGTTTACAAATTCAACTAAATTTCTAATGGTCGTACAATTTGATGACCATTTTGACCAGCGTTTAACCAATTTAATCCGCAGAAGAATATCCTCTAGTCTCATGCTTAATTGGACCAAATTGCCTTCAAATTGCCCTTGTGACATTTCTTAGCCGGCATTATCTGGTTTCTAGTCAAGTAACCCTCGCGATGTCTGTGCAGCTTTGCATCGGGTCTAGCCAAAAACTTTCATTCTACAGATTTATATGCCACCTGTAAAAAACAAAAACCACAAGCAAACACCGCGAGATCACAGATACATATACCGATTCAGATACAGATAGATATAGCGATGCCCTAGGCGCATTGCCTTCGAGACATTGACACGTATTTGGCCGAGGAGCAGTGGTGCTGCCTCTAAATTTGTTAGCGGATTTCTTGGGTTTCACGGGGTGGGTGGTGGGTGTTGGTAGAAACTGTTAGGGGAGGTGGTGCTGATGCTGGTGTTTCGTATGTGGGCGCGCTGACGTCTTTATTCAATCAGCACTTAATTGAATTATACAATCGAATCAAAAGGAAATTTCTGCTTGCAAATGTCAATCAAACTCGCACACACCGTGATCCTCTGAGTCACTCAGATTAGTCGCTTAAATCTGAGGGATTTACCTGAGCAGATTCCACGATACGACTACGGATACCAACACGGATACAGATACGGATACGGATGGTCCACCGATTTGGATTTCAAGAGCGATTCGCTGATTGAGTTGCTGACTCCGCGCACGGCTCGAGGCGAACTGAATTTTGCGTGACTCGCCAGCGTCGAGCAGAGCTAAAAGCCCGGGAATGGGGATGGATTCGGAATCGGATTCAGATTCGGAATGGGAATGGGAATGGGAATGTGAATGGCTATGGGCAGGGAGAAACAAAGGCAAGAGCCAAACAACACACCCAGTTTTGGCTACGGGAGAAGCCTCCGCCTCATAGCCGCAGTGCCCAAATAGCAGATCAATTACCATTCTGGCTGCTCGGTGCTCGATCAACCGGAGACAGGGGAGCCTCGAGGGGAAAACGCCAATTATGCGTGCAATGCGAAATGGAACGGAAGTGTGTGCGCCGGAGTACAGTGAAGCAGCTACAAAAGTCACAAAACAAAACATCGAAACATCAAAACAACTCTTCGGCAAAACCAGACAAAAAGCAAAGCCAAAACAAAAAGCAAAGCCAAACACAAAGCCAACTCGATTGGTTTGGCTTGACTTGGCTCGGCACTTCCGGTGGCCACTGACGCTACTACAGCTACTACTGCTGCTACTGCTGCTGCTTTAGAACAAATCAGACGGAAAATTCGAAAATTCGCTTGGAAAAATGTTAATAGTGGCACTTGAGAGCGCGACACACCCGCTAAGGAGCGCCCGCAGTCGAGCAGAAGCCGCATTTCGCTGGCTTTCGTTGTTCGGGGCAATTCATTTCAAATTTATCGATTTGCGCATAAGAACCAATTGGAAAACAACACAAATGGGACTGCACTGCAGAAAAAGTCGCCTAAGGACAGATTTGTATTCTCGAATCGAACTTAATAGTTTTCCTTTATAACATATCATATCGACATAACCATATCTTTTACTCCTTATAAATCTGTACAAAGAATTTAACTTATTCTAAGAAACTATTTTCCGAACAAAGCCAGAGACTTTTCTCAGTGTGTGAATCATTGCAGGAATGAGGGAACCATTTAATTTTAACTCTGGATAGTTGTAAAATGCTTTTTCAATAGCGGAACCCATATGCTCGCTGCGGCCTTGTAAATTTCACACAAAAGGTGATGGAGAAAATAGTTCAGGAGGAGTAGCCGGGGGATCTGGGCAACCTGTCACGGATTGAAAACGGGAGTTCCAAACGGATCGGGAGTTCCGAGTCAGAGTGCGACCTGTCAATTGGACATGGGCATAAGAATGGACTTGGGTGCGGCGGGCTCTGGCAAATTAAGAGCATTTCCTGAGTTGATTTATGTGGAATTCTGGGCAGT